TGATCTTGAACACACTGCTCTTCCAAAGGTTCTGAGTTCAATTCCCAGCAACCACATGGTGGCTCACAACCATCTGTAATGAGATCTGGTGCCCTTGTAGACATAATAAATAATATTTAAAATAAATAAATAAAAGCTGAACAGCCAAGGCAGGAGATATACGCAGGACTTCTGGGCAAAGGGAGAACTCAGGGAAGAAGAAAGGTGGATTCTCCAGCAAGACATGGAGAGGAAACAGGAGGCATAAGGTGGAAGAGAGGTAATGCCTTATGGCAGAACATAAATTAATATAAATGGATTCATTTAAGTTATAATTATATTATAGTTATAAGAACTAGTGGGACAAAGTGTAAAAGCTAAGGTCGAGCTTTCATAATTAGTAATAAATCATGGTGTTGTTATTTGTGAGCTGATGGTTCCGATAAAAAAAAATCTTACATAAGTAACTCTTACATCTTTAGTGATTTGGTTGTTCTTCCTGCTTCCACCTCCACAGTGCTAGGTGACAGGCATGTACCTCACTAGTCTCTTGGCAAGTGTTATTCTAGGGGAGGCTAGCAACCCTGAGGATAACAGTCTTGGTGGTTCCAGACTGGAAGTGCTCCTCTGAGTCTGACATGCTTGGAGTGTGTATGGGAGTGAGACTCCACTGCCGGAGAGGTGGGCTCAGCTAGATCTGCAAGGCCAGTTGTGCCCGGATAAAGGCCTTGTACTTTACCCCAGGGACAGCAGGGAGCCCTTGACAGGTGTTGACCACGGTGTGCAGTGATGTCATGGTGGAGAAGAAAAGGGTCCAGCGTCTGATCCAACCGTCCAGCTGCTGTCTATGTGAGGGTTTGTCATGGAGCTCCCTACCAGAGGTCAGTTGTAGGGACCTGTCTTTCTGCTTTGGGCAACTGTTTCATTAGGAATGCTCTTTTTCTGTCCTACATGTGTGGCAGCATGTATTTGTCTGCCTGTCAGAGGATTTCCACTTATGATCCTCCGGTCATCCATGTCATCAGGGAGTACACCGTGTATATGGAGGCTGAAGATCCCCACTGGAGTCCTGTGCCCTCCGTCCCCTCCTGGACTGTCTCAGGCGTGGTGTAGTCAATATGCCCTCTGAGAATTCTTACTCGAAGATACCCACACAAATCCCCTTTCTGCCATCTAACAGGGGCAGAAAGCACAAGAGCTCCACCGCTGGCTCAGGACTCCAACCTCCCTTCCCATTCCCTTCCCCCCCCCCGCCCCCGCCCGCCCGCCCGCCCCCGCCCTGTCCCGGGGAGCCTGGACCTTGTTTTCCACAGCAACTGGAAGTAGAACCCAAACCCAAATCTGACCCCCGCCCTCCTCCCATGCTGAGTTGCGGTTTCCTCTGATTTGCTGCTGCTTTTATGCTGTGTCATGGTTGGGAGGGAGATTGCAGACAAAGGGAAGGCAGATTTTGCTGAGTCACTCTCTGTTTCTTCAGCTTCCCTCTGAATAAGTTAGTTGGTAAAAGGGTAGCTTTAGCCCCAGGCAGGAGGAAACGAAAGTTCCAGCGGGGAACAGAAGCCGCTTGTTTGGTTATAAATTGTAAAGCCCTGTTTGAAACGTTTCAAGCTGGCGTGAATGTGAGGCGCCCGCGCGCGCACACACACACCACACACACACACACACCACACACACACACACACACACACACACACCAAACTGGCCTGAATGTGAGGTACACACACACACACAGTTTGGAAAGCTTAGGAGTTATGACTGACCGCTCTCTTCCGTCTGTTCTATCCTGAAATTCACCGCAGGAGCCTGTGAGATGGGCTGGGGAGCCGGTGGCGTGGGCAACTCCTGTAGCAGGAGTCCTTGTGTTTCTAGCTTCCTGACGCTGCTTGCGCATGTCAGTCAATTTGCTGCTGTGTCCCTCATCTTTGCAGAAGGCAGGACAGCGTCTTCCCGTCTCCTGTCCCTCTCCATCTTTCCTCACCTATCAACTGTCTCTGCACCCATCATGTACTTGTAATGACTGTTAGTATCCAGGCAAGGGTTCCCATGGGGCAGGGCCAAGGGGTGCCTGGATACTAACAATGACCCTACATCTTGAGGGACGGTCTAGGGCAGTCTCACATCTGCCTTCAGAATTTTTCTCTGGTCTTGATGTCAGACATCTTTGAGGGGTGGGTATTCAGCTAGTCACTGCAGCAAGAGAAAGGGCATGGATTGGGGTCTTTGGGGTGCATGAGGCAAAGGAAGCAAGGAAGTTGAATTAGTATGGGCATGGGAGTGGGGCGTGGGGTGGGGGAATGCTGGGAAGGGACCAGAACAGCCTGGTCTGGCTGCCTGCGTCAGTGTGGGCACAGTATGCATGGTGTGTGTGTGTGTGTGTTGGGGGATGGAACCAGAACAGCCTGGTATGCCTACCTGAGTTAATATGGGCAGTGTGTATTTATGTGTGTGTGTGTGTACACATGTGTGTGCAATGGGGGAGGGGGTTGGTCTGGCTACTTCTGTCCCCAAATTTTGTGTAGTCTATCTTCTATATACATCTGGGGCTTCCAGAGAACAAGCCAGTGCCCAGAAGTCAGAAACAAAGGTTAAGCAAAGGTTGTGTCTCTAATGGGGCCACAGCCTGAGTCAATGCCTCTCTCTTTGGATGCCCATGTTAAAAAGGAGATTCATGTTGTGAGTTTCATTTTTTGCAGTCCTTAGAATAACAGGCAGTAGATCCTATTATTGCCCATATTTCCCATTATTGCCCCCTAAACTCTTGGACCCTCCATGACAGGGCTTGGGGTAAGGTGGTCAGGAGGGAGGCCTAGCTTCCTGTTAACCAGGCCAAGAATTTTGATTCTGACATCAACATAGCCAAGTGACGAGAAACTTCCTTGACTTCACTGCTCCTCGTTAGACTCCAGTAGATGAAAGAGAGATGCAGAGGGCAGTTGCACAGATCTCACGCTGCTGCCGGGATTAGCTGAGCCTCTGCACACAGCAAGAGCAAAGGTTGGCTAGGATTGCACTTTGTGCCCTTCCTGGCAGCTTCGAGCCACGACAGCCAAACAACACCATCACCTCATCCCCATTCCCATCAGGAGTCTTTGGGCAACCTCGTCCCTGCAGTTATTATTAACCGTCTGTCATGTGCCAGGCACAGGTCCAGCCCTGGGGATTTACGGCACCAAGTGGATAGAGTCGGGGTCCATTTGCTTTCCATCCAGAACACCCAGAGAAGCACCTGCTGGTTGGCAGTGGCCATAGCCACTTGTCCTGTCTACACCATTCGCAGGCAGAAGATACACCGCCTGCTTCCCAGGGAATGTGGAGTCCTCCTGGTTCTATCGGAAGCCTCTGTCCTGTTCTCTAAAGTCAGCCCCTGGGCTTTTCTGATGGAGTTCTTGAGAGATGAGTTGTCCACGTGCCGTGGGTCTTCAGTTACTGGAGCTGTTCTTCTGTTGTCACTATTCTGAGTGGGACAGTGATGACGCAAGGGACTTGGCCAAGTGTGACAGACGGGGCACACGGGGGTGAGACTTGGCCGTCCCGCTCCCCTTGAGGGGGTTCCCCCTTGACAGGCAGTTGGCCATCATCCCGCTCCCCTTGAGGGGGTCCTCCCTTGACAGGCAGTTGGCCATCCCGCTCCCCTTGAGGGGGTCCCCCATTGACAGGCAGTTGCCAACCTCCATTTGTCTTTCTTCTGAGTTGAGGACTTGCAACCACCATTTCCAAACAATATCCTTAAAAATAAAAGAAGAAACAAACAAGCAAACAAACAAACGAAAATGAAATTTTGTTGGCATTAGAAGTCACTTTTAGGCTGGAGGGGTGGCTCAGAGGCTGACAGTACTTGCTGGTCTTCTGGAGAACCCGAGTTGGTTCTCAGTACCCACACGGGCAGCTCACAACCTCCTGTATGTAACTCTAGTTCCAGGGGTCCAATGCCTCCTTCTGGCTTTCTCGGGCAACTGAATGCATGTGGCATCAATGCATATATACATGTACTTGGGTCCACACACACACACAAATAAAAATTTTTTTGTTTTTGTTTTTGTTTTTTTTTTTTCTTTTCTTTTTTTGAAATACGGCTGCTCACTGTAGTCCCGGAACTCACTCTCTAGACCAGGCAGACCTTGAACTCACAGAGATCTGCCTGCTGCTGCCTTCTGAGTGATGGGACTAAGGGCTTGCACCACCACCACCCAGCAATACATATTTTTTTTTTAAAAGAAGTCACTTTTAACCCAAAAAAGGACAACTAAGTATTATGGGTGCTTCGTGTAATCATCCAGTATGTTTGTGTATTTTCTGTCCGGTCCCGAGGGGTCCACATCACCAGGAATTTGGGTGATTGTCCAAGCCCTACCTTGATAAGCCTCAGTGGGTGTGATGGTGGATGTGTCCTGACTTAGGAAGCCATGGTGTGGACCAGGTTCTAGGAGTGAGGAGAAGGCAACCAGACACTCAGGTGCTGTTCTCTGTGACCCCCTGCTGGGCAGCACCGTTGTCCTGCTCAGTTTTCCCACCTGTGAAGCCTGAGACATCCACCCAGCACTATGTGTAGGGACAAACTACGGAAAAGTTAGTCTCTGCGGGTGCTGGCAAACCAAGCAGGACTGAGTGTCCATAAAGGAGTTGAGAAAACCAGCTGTCTCATCCTCACAGAGTTCTGGGAAGGCAGATTCAGGTAAACCCAGGGTCCCGTGGGTCAGTCCCTGGGGTTGCCCATCAGCAATGTCTCTTAGTTCTGAAACCTTCAAGAACTTAGTTCTGGAACCTTCAAGAACTAAGAACAGGAGGACTCCTGTCCTCCTGTCACTGAGTAGTGTAGAGAGGGTTCTGGAAAGAATCCAAATCCTGCCCACAGGCAACTCACTCAGATTTCCTCCCCCCCAACCCCCCAAGATCCTGTAGCAGAGCTTGCCAGAGTCATATGACTTTTCCCCTCGCAGACCAGGCCAGCCCGCCCCGGGGCGTGGTGTTGCAACTGGAGCCAGAACTCGAGCTCAGCTAGGCGGCCGCCACGTGACCTGCTTACTTAAAGGGCTGGCTTAGGCAGCTGCTCACAGTCGCCTGCCGCCTTCAGAGTTTCAGCAGACTACTACTGAGTGGAGCCTGCCAGAGCAGAATCCTCTCCAGCTTAGCCCGGAGCCTAAAGCAGACAGAACCAGCCTGAGCCAGCCCAGCCCGGTGATGGAGCGCCCACAGACCGACAGGCAAGTCGCTGCGTGGGGACGGGAAGTGTGGCGACCCGTGTTCCCTGTTCAGCCTGGGAATGCTGTGGGGCCGGCGGACGAGTTGCCGCCCAGTCTACCTGTAGCCATGGGCAGCTGGAGGGAGGAAATGTGATTCACCCCTCTGACACGCTGTGTGTGACGGGATGAGAGTGTCCTCATGGCATCGCGCACTGCCGAGTCCTGGATCCTGGACTCACCACCATTCTAGGGGGATGCTTTGGCTCTCCTGGTGGCGTGGAGTGGTCTCAGGCTGTACATAACAGTGGCTGTGCAGTTTTCAACCTCACGGGAGAATGCAAGGCTTAGGGAGGAAGCAACAGCAGAACTAGTGGGTGTTTATAACCTGGGATTTTTTGGGGGTGTGTGTGTTTGTTTTATTTCATTTCATTTATTTTTTTATTTGAGACAGGGTCTCTCTAGCTGTCTTGGAACTCGATATATAGACCAGGTTGTCTTTGAACCTTTGAACTCAGATCCTCGTCCCTTTGCCTTCGGTGTGCTGGAATAAAGATACAACACCACCATACTTAGCTTTTCCTCCTCCTCTTTTTTTTTTTTTTTTCTTTGAGACAGGGTTTCTCACTGTAACAGCCCAGGCTATCGTGGAACTTGCTTTGTAGACCAGGCTGGTCTTGAACTCACAACGACCTGCCTGCCTCAGCCTCCCAATTGCTGGGTTTAAAGATATG